GATCAGGATTATCTAATTGCAGAAAAAATTAGATGATCGCCGACTTTCGAAAAATCATTTTGTTCAATTTTTAAATTTCTATTCATGATCAAACAATGTCTTGATTTTGAAATGTTTATATATATATATGAACACTTTTCGTGCACAAGTGGCTTAGCATGGATGTACGCGCGTGTTAATGGTCTGTCCAACACATAACATCTTAGAAACGTTATTGCTAACACTACTACATGTACCTAACTGTATTATCTATTTTTGTCCTCGCTCATTTGTACCTGCACATCGTCCTTCCCTATCTTGTGCTGGTTACCTTGGCCTAAGTAGGCTCAGCCACGTTGCAGACGAAACAGAACGCTATCCAGATACAATTTCCAAACCAAATACACGTCAATACGGATGTTCTAAGGACCGTGTACAGCAAAGACATCGCGATACCGTCGGCTTAGATCATCATTAAAGAAAAGAGGAGAAGGTCTGGAGGGTGTTAGATAGTCTGAAATGAGTGCTCAGTTGATAGAGAGCGTGTGGATCAAAAAAGCACCAAAAATGAACCCAGAATTGCTGAAGTCGGCCCAGCAGCAGCTGTAGCAGGCGAGCTTACGGCTCACCACAGCCGCTAGCCCGACCGCAAGCTCCGCTCGTTCCTCTCTGATAATTCTGTATTTCATTCAAAATGTTGCTATCTTTTCTTCTTTGTTGTGGCACTTTTTGTGCCCGTTACGGTTTGTTATTTTACGCGTTCCTTCGCCTTTGTCCAAAAAAATGATCGAAACTAACTGAGAAATAAAATTGAATCTGATCACTCGGCATACCGGATCGGGGAGAAGCTCAGGGAATGGAGGAGGACAGAGAGATGAAGACTGTGAGGTGCGTCAGATTTCTTACGAAGTCTGTTCCGCGCAATGCCGTTGTTGTTGTTGTGGACGAAGATAAACATGATTTGTTTACGCGATTTATGCGCATCAAAAATAGTATGAAAGAGAGGCTAACAATGTTTGACTCCTGTTCTGTGGGTTCGGTCATCTTTGAGGAAGGAAAAAATAACAAGGGGCAACAAATGATCGTGTCATTAAATATCCACCGCATAAATGGCAGAAAAAAGGGTACCCTTATATTAAATCTTTGGCAATTATTAAATCAATTCGGGTGCAGTATGAGAGGCCAGGATACAACAGACCGATGTCTGCAAACGTTGAATCGTGATGCTGATTCAATTCCGCCGAGGATGAAGTACGCTTCCTGTTAACGCCGCAAAAAAAAACCTAATCTAATTCGTAGTTTGTGTTTTGAGCACTTTATATCTACTACTTACAGTTAACTTAAAGCTTAGCAATATAAAAACATTCTGATGCTTGGAAATCAATTTGCTAGAAGCTATTTCAAAGCGAAGGCGACAGCGAGTTTCGGTCCTTCCAAACCAGCGGAACTATAAACTTTACTGATGGATACGAAAAATTATCCTATGCCTCACTAGTGTCAAGCATTTCGGTAAACTCAATAGACTGCCGAAGTGATATAGTCAAATATAGCAGATAATGTTTGATGGGTTTGAACTTCGCTAAGGATTATGTACCATTCAATATCGGCGTTCAAAGCAAACAACCTGGGGCCTATTCAGTAACTTCATTTCTAGCTTGTAGCTATCATCTGGTCTGTTTTTTTTTTGCTTTTGGAGTGGTGGCGACGGTAGCCGGTGTTTTGGGAACAATTTGCATGTCATTGTTATCCTGTTTGCCGTCGACAGAGTCGGCCTTGACGCCTCGAGTTTGACCGTGAACGTCTTGTCGGTTTACGTCAATGTCCGAAGCCTATGCCATCCTGATGATGAACCAGGATGCTCTTCTTTGGTACTTCTAACAAAGGAAGACCTTTATCGCCCTGGACCGATACGTTCTGCTGTGTTTATATTTATATTCAAATTTATATGCGTCAATCGTTTATGTATAATACGGCGCGCGTTCGTGCGTCACCAAATACACGGAAACAGTGACGATACTCTGTGATCCCAGCGGAACACTAGTAATAGAATAGAACCGGATAGCCACGGCCCCAGCTATTAGCCCAACTGGACGCTAACACCGTGCCCAGAACCTAAAATGAATGAAAGCTATTTGTTGACTGCCTAGACAACGACGGTGACGGCAGCGACGACGATCAAATTGGGATAGAAGATCACTTGCCGTAAAGCGAATCACAAAACGGAGTACCCTACTGAATGCCATCGGATGACGGCGCGTTCTAGACAGGCATTCAGAATCGTTGAGGTAGCTTTATACGTGTGGGGTGCATTCAGGCATCCAAATTAAAAGCAGTAATCGGTAGATGTTGTGCCCGGAATATCCGCGCTATACCAGCTGCGGTAATACTGTTCAGGACAGAGATCGTTCGACATGATTCGACGACAGGACCGTGTCGCATATATAGCTATATCGGGCCATTTGTACGCCATTTATAGTGGAGAGGACTCGGTTCTGTCCTACGGAAATGACAACTATAATAGAAGCAAGCTTCTGGCCAAGTTCTTATTCACGACGGCCGACTGATTCAGGCCGTAGAGAGAAAGAGTTGACGAGTTGATACGAGTCCTGCATGGCCCAGAGCAGAAATTATTTACTCTCTGTATGCATGCCTTCATGCACCGTCACTTTGGCGTATATATACGAGCCACAATATTGTAAGTACGTTCAAATGGACTGACGGTGAACGGTGATGCAACAAAATAAATATTGTAGATGGCCTGGCATAGCCTCATAAATTTTGGATAAGAGGAAAATTCTAGTAGGAGTTGCTGTTTGAATTATTTCGTAAGAAAAGTGGAAGATATAAAAAGTAATAATAATGTGTTGTTGTTATACTGCTCGAATACCACCGTCTATCATATATTAGATATCATTAGGAATGATCAAGCTATTTAATATGGTCGTCTTTTCCGGTCGAACATCTGAATCATTTGTTTTTTTGGGGCACTGGTTTGTGGTCTGTCTTGTTGCATTTCTTCCCTAGTCCGCCAGCCAGGACCACAATGGCCATTGTGAGTGGACATTCTGCCAATTGAGTCGAAGTTAAGAGAACAGTTTATAGAGTTATAAAAAAAAAAAGCGATTTAGCCTAACAATCAAATCAAGCTATGCATACTGGAAATTGAATCGGACTCAACGTTAAGTTTGAAAAAAACGCATAGCAAACCATCACAGAACAGCCATCTGTCCTCATTTTGACGTTACAAGCTACACTTGAAGTCAATTTCGAGGTATCATAACAGAGTTCCAGCGATACAATGTATTCCGTACGATTTCCACCATACCTAGCACACATTAAAATAGTAGTCCCTCGAGAAAATAGTAAATCTGACTTCCTTGTCGAAGTATTGTTGGCAAATAATGTATTTTCTACGTAAGTAGCTTTACATGAGACACGTTTACATGAGTGAAAGCTTTCGTCCGACGGTAAAAAAACGATATAAAAAGCAAAAAAAAACTACTGGCCTATTGGAAGCTACATTGTATGGCTTATTGACGTCCTTCACTTTCTTTTCTATATGATTAGATGTAGTACAAATAAGACGAAACATCGTTCAACATGTTCGGGCAACATTATAGTGGCAACAAATTATGCCCTTGTGTGTGTGCGCGCGCGCGCGCTGGCGTTAGATTAAAAAGAGAAAATGTCTTTTCAAAAGATGACTTACTATCAAGTCATTCGAAATGACGTGGGTTAGTCTGTTGTCACAGACGAATTTACCCCATTACCCATATCTAACCCAAGTAATAGAGGCTCCATTTTCAAGCGTCGAAATAGGCTGCTATTGAACCGGTACGTGCATACTCCGTAAAAGCAAACCACCGTAAAATTTTAAGTACCTAATTAACAAGCAAATTATTTCACAACGGATTACATTACTTTGAGGCTTACCGCCCAGAACAATGCTACACCGTAGCGTTTCAGCAGTAGCGCGAAATGGTACCAGTTTGTAAAGCTTACCGTAATTGTCCAAGATCCTAACGAGCACTAAAAAACCATTGGATAGGGCCAAACCTAATATCTATTTAACCTTATAAATATATTTACACAAACACAGATTTTGTTGTAGAAATCTTGTTCCTGCAATTCGCAGTGTCCTATTCCGAGAGGGGCGAGCACGAATTTGAACGACGAAAGTTAACCTGTCTACCATATCGTTGTAAGCGCTCGCATATAAATGAGTCACAATAATTTCATTATGTTTTCTCTTTTGTGGTTTACTCGCATACGTTGTGTGCTATATGTCGATGGCGAGCGTAGAAAACAGCTTGGTAACTTCATTAGTCACTCCGAGATTTGCTATGCTTGGAAATTAGCCGACATTCATCAGTGGCAAGGACGAACAGGCAAAGATCACAGTCACATCCATGTCATAGACATTACGGGGGCAGCGGTGTCACTGAATGCGAGCGCTGTTCATGCATCGTGCATACCGAACCACTCCTGGTCGTGCAACCTAAGGCTGGTATTGCCACGTCATTTGGCGCTAATACCATGTCGTACGTACATCGAGGCGTAACGATGGACAGAAGCGCATTTGTTTGCTAAGGCGAACTATACTGTCAGTGTTAGCATGACCTGACGAACCTAGCATCTGAAACATGTAGATACGATGGTTACTGCAGCATGCCTTGATTCCACTTAGCTACATATACATGGATTCCGACATTTGTCAAGGTGTAGAGATTAATGGAAATTGTTGTTTATTAATAAAAACAAAAGGGTCACAGGCAGCCACCGAATTAATTGGATAAGCTGACAATCGCTAGCAACTGATTACTAACTACTAGCGTTGAGCTGACGGCACCGATTCATTTTTTTTGTTCATAAATATCTGTATGTTATACGATAATGTAAAAGTGAACTATTTTCTTCCGCTTCTACGACTTTTATGACGAAACCCGTTAGATAACAAAGACACTTCAAGTTAAGAGGCGTAGCGGCCGTCGTTTGTAGAGACGAAAGCGGTAATTTGTTTTTATTATTTAATTAATAGTATTAGCTGTTTAGCTGCTATTGCGTTAACAACGAAAATTTAGCACAGGATTTCATCTATTTAACAATCTTCCCTTGGCTGGGATGGCTTTCTGAGTTGGTCTGAATTCTCCGATAGCCTTTCTGTCATGACCGATATACTCATTAGGATATTAGTACTAACGACAGCGTCCTGAGTTGGCCTAGACGGTACTACAATAAAGGCAATTTTTAGTGACATATGCTGTACGTTCAACTCACTGGTACAACCGTTCATAGACGGATCTGTAGCTAATTTTATCTCGTCATAACATAGTATATATGGATGCGTAAGCTTTTAGAGGAAGCTAAATTTTCATTTTTCATCCATCTTGCGGTTTGGCTATGATACATAGCAAGGAGACAACGCTCTCTGTGTTTTTTGGAGGTAAAATACTAATTAACGGATCTTCTTATCAATTTATCTGTTGCCATCAAATAGTTTTTTTTTCAAGTCGCGTAAGTTATCAACTGCTTCTTTGTTGCCTAACTGTGAAAACTTTCATTACCGTGCACCCTCTCCATAAATACATTGTGCTTACTATTGAAAATAACCAGTCTTTGATATTTCAGTCATGTTAAATATTTTTAGATCGTTTAACGCCTAAGTGCACGCCGCTTACTCCACTTTCTTAAGTGTTATCAGTTTTTTTCTCTTTCTGATCGTTCCTTTTTCGCGCCGTCACCCCACATGCAATCGATCAGTAGCCCCTCTACATTGTCGAAAGCGTGCTTTTCGTCTAGGTAGCCTATTCATTTTGTGCCTGCTATAACGACAGCATACATTAAGCATCTTTTTTAGTTATAATAGTTAATCTAAGCTCTCTGCGATGACGGGACATCAGTTTACTGGAGTACTTGAACATCTTAGGCGAAGTGACACCTTCAGCGGGCGAGCCCATTACACCCTGTTGGTGCACATCCGCAGTTGAGAGTGCCTTGGCACCAGGAAAGAGTACCTGTGGTCTCCATCCCAGAATGGGACTGACCGGCCCCATGTGCGTCTCCACTACAACAAAAAGGCCAACGTCTCCATCGTGGCATTTCACTGTCGACAGCCAACTACGAGGACGATGCTGGCGGCCTGGTAAATGATAGTGTCTTCAGCACAGGCCCAAAGAAGCAACGGTTAAAAGAGGATACGCCACCAACGGTCGCAGTGGTAGTATCGGTAGATATCGATGGATGCTAAACCCGTACCATTAACTATAGTATTCATCGTGTTTACCGTGCGAAGAGGAAGCTGTTAGTATCGATGACTTAGCTGATGATGGCTGTTCGCTGTCGTTGGATAGTTCGTTCGTTGCTGTTAGCAGGCGTCGACTCGACGATCCGCTACGAGCTTGTCCCGTCTCTTCTACCGCTTCACCGTTTTTCCCCGAAGTTCTCTTCGATAGCCGGATCGAGATGGGGCGCGTCCGGATCTCATCAGCGACGTTTGCTTCCTCGCCGCCGTAGCATTTGTAGCTCGTATGGTAGGTCGCATCCGTGCTCCTAGCTGCTGGAAATGGTCGTCGGTAAGCGCTGCTATATAGACCGCGCAAAAGCCTTACGAAAAGAGACAATGTTGACTAAGGAATATTTCAGAGATACTGAATAAAAAGCAACAGAAATGGAGGTTCTACAGCAAGCGAGAGGTGAGCGAGACTACGATAGGCAAAAATAGCGAGTGACTAGACGGTCAATGCCTAGAAATAAATACTACGCGCTGACTAGCTAGCTTTCTGGCGTCTGAGATCTCCAAAGTAATGGGCGGTGGTGGCATCACAGGCAGCACCATGATCTCGATAACGTTTCTGCGAGGAATAGCCATATCCATCCTGTTCTATTCTATATCAAATGAGAAGAGTCATTCAGTCGTTAAGTTACTATATAATACAATTCAGGAAGATAGACCGCGTTTTTCAGAAGAGCCTTGGTTCCCATTTGCGCTTTTTCTCGTTCCGCACCGGCCGCTTTGTCGGATTACAATCTGAAATATATTCAGCCTAGTCAAAGCAGGCCATACTGCATCTGTCTAAAAATGTCAAATAGGGCACACGCTGTTGTAGCGTGATATTTGTTAAAGAGACCTGTTTGAGACGGCAAACCAACAAAATACAAAGAGGCAAAATGTCACAACAGAAGTATTTTTCGCTGCCGTTTTACCTTTCGTTCCGATGCGTTCTTAGATGTAACGCGGCGTCCAAAAAAAAATGGCCAAGTGGTTCTCGAAGCCTGCCATCCAGATGAGGCTGTAATAATTGAAATGCTACTGCTGGTAAGCCTACGTCGTCGTTCGAACGACTAATACGTATTACGTGGCAAGCCGTTTACGATATGCTTTCGTTTTATGCAGACTTATATACGAAATATCATTTTGTAGAATCCATAAATAGTTCGTACCACTGACACATGCTTCTGGTGATTGTAGCAACGGGTGCTGCTATGTTTCTACTATGACTATAGTTCTAATCTGATACTGTCAACATTTACGGTAATAGATACTTAACATTGGAGCTGTGAATAATTGTCTCACCGCCAGCCTGTAGGAAATCGTAAACGTAAACGGTAATCGTTTAGGTACGATTTCTAACAACACTTAACCAATCTAGCGATCTGACACTTTAATCATATACGTGTTCCAGGATCTTGGATCTTTCATCACGTATCAGTATTTGTGCACTCAGAAAAAGCTGAAGAAAAACCTACATTTTAACGTTGTATAAAGAACATAAATTCTAAGATGATCAAACAACTAAACTCATTAATATATATATATGGTCCTTTAAGCCTTCTCTCTTGTCTTCGCCTATATTTGATTGTTTTCATTCGCTTCTGAGTTGCTGGGCACGCAAACAACACAAACGACTCGCTAAGTCGCTTCGTAGTCGTGGAGTATAGCGCGACTCATAGACGACAAGGCCTTCTCGAATGCGCCCCGCTACTTAGAGGCCATTGGTTTTCCCAGATTCAGGCCCGTCGCAGTTCGGCCGACGACGCGAAACATGTTCACGTCAATCACGGTCACCTTAGTGTTTTCAGCACGAACTCATAGGTAACACTAATCAATAGCACCATTCGTTTACATAAAGCCTGCTATTTATTCAGCTTTAGCTTAGCGTTCCAGCTAACCTGTACAGCTCGCACACATGCACACGTTAGTGTCGCAAATGGTTGTAAACTTGAAGAGAGGTAACTATCTACGCGGCTTTGTTTCTGCTTGGCCAAGAAATTTACGCTAATTGTAGATGATTAGAACCACAAATGCCTGTAACAGATGTATAATGTTGAACGTATTTCGTGATCAATTAGAGAACGACGTCTCTACATTATGGATTTTTCCTGCACAGCCAGTTGATTTTTCAATTTGTCACGCACATGCACACACCCAGATAGACAGACACACACACACTCACACACATATATATATATATATAAAACATGATCCGAAAACACGATCTTAGAGCTGTAGGCACACGTCGTTCAGTCACCCATAGACGTCTTACCTATATTCTATGTGATCGCGAATCATTTTTATCGCAAATCGAACTTGACACACTCAAGAGCTACGATTTAATTCAGTTCACAGCGTTAGCACAGGTCGCGGTACATCTGAAGCTCAGGTTAGGTAAACAAGCGTTAATGCTCCGGTGGCGTCAGCAGTTAAATGACGAACGTTCGTCGCACTTTGGCTATATCAGTTTGGCCGATCTAGCTGGTTTAGCTAGCCCCAAGACCGCTTATTGCCGGGACCAACTAGAGTCGTCATAGACTTTGCCTAGCATCCCTGCTTGGTAGCGAAAACATCATTAGCAGATGCTGTAGAGCATCGCCTTGTTTATGCATTCAACTGCTAAACCGACCTGGATACGAGTGCATAAGCAATAATCGCCCAAGACGACACCGCCAATAGCTAACACGGTCAGCCATTGCCACAGCATCAGCTGAAAAGGTCGTATGGTCTGGTAGGGAAAACGGTGGATGTATGCAACGACGTTACAACCTTGCGCTCTCTCCTGATCCCGGGTCTTACATATCCCATTTTGTCTAGATTTCTTGTCGCGTTAGTAGACATGCAGAGACGATGTTCCGAGGGGCAGAAAGGGGAAGAGGGGGCAAAGCATGCGGCCGTTGTCGTCGGACCAAAAAAAGTTTTTGTCCTACGGAGGCGGCTGTGCCTGTTTGACTGAGCCAAAACTGCTGAAAGCATTGTGTATCTAATGCACATAGCCGTAATAGAAGCGGCTGTTGTAGTAGTGGTGGTGGTGGTGATAATGATGATGGTGATGAGGGGTTGGCTTTAAGAGGACCAGCACTTATGCCATCGGTGCCGCCACGCTGGCAAGATCATTCAGAAAACGAACGCTTGATTGAAACGTTACACAAGGACAATATACGATAGCCGAAAATTGCTGCTGCGCTATTATATAGTTGAAATTGCCATCGTACAGTAAAAATACCTTTCGGAGCGTGTCTGCGTGACCTTGTACGGCACTTTAAGCATTGTAACTGAGTCCGTAATGTATGTGTATGCCACGTCCACGCCTATACTCTACGCCGACACAAACGCGCTGATTCAACCTCTAGCACGGCTGTCAATGGTGGCTCTGCACGTGATGCATGAACGAAAAATTACATTATCTCATCTGATTGACGCAAAGGAACTAATGAAGAAAGAAATGACGAACCACGGTCCGATGGCCAGTGCCACGGTCGAAGCAACCGGAATGAATTGAGCCTAACAATACTAATGACTACCTAGACGATATAGCCAAAATTACTATTACATCATTAAACATTGGCAATTTGATTGTTAGTTTCGTCTAACCGAAAGCTCAAGTCAAATCGTATACAACATTGTTGCAAAAGAGTTCAGGGACCCCGGGCCTTCGGTAGCACCCACTCGTACGACGACGTCCGCCCGACGTAATTAAAAAGACGAGCTCATATTGCACGTCGTAGGCGAGTATCGCATTGTGAGTTTGTAAGATCGACAGGCTGACGTGCGATCTAGCGCCTTCTGATGCTGTTGATGTATGCCGGCGTATGCCGCAAACAACAAACCCCTCTATGGCGAGATTGGAGGCAGGACAATATTGAGAAAAAAACAGCGTACTCGCGTGTAAGTGGAAAAAAGCAAAGGACAAAAAGGGAAAATGTCGATATCACGATGAATACACCCCGACAGTTTGAACTGCCAATTTACACCTCGGAGAGAAGAAAATCACGTAGAAGGCGTCAACGCGGTCGAGGACGTACAATTTTTTACAGAGAAACATCGCGTTGTATCGTGGAGAAGGCCGCGCAGAAACCTATTATCGAAAAGACCTAAAGTGTGCGATCAAGAAAAGATGGCTGTACGACATTCTGTCGGACACAATACGTATAACTATCTATGCGTAGAGACCCACGTGTCTCTATATCGGCTATATAATAAAGCATGATATTAGATGTATGGTTATAGACGTCAGGGTACAAAGTAAGGCTGTTCGTTGCGACCTGTTTGAGCTGCCGGTGGCGCATCAGGGTTATTTAGGGACGATTGCTAAAATTAGCCAGCAGTGTCAATGAATGGGAATGTACAAGGTAAGCGAGACAATGCAATCTACTGCGTTGTATTGCACAGACATTACTTTTCCTCACCAGATGCCACACATAAACTGAGCGGATGGAAAGCAATGATTCTATAGTTGTCCCTGTTTCGGCACAGGTAGGTATGCAACTACATACTGGAATAGCGTAGATATAACATAGATATAACGACTGCGCTCGAATAATGTAAATAGATAACTCCGTTGCGGATCATTGAATTGCGACAGGCCAACCTAATACGCAGATAAGACAAGGTCAGTGACACTGGTTTGCATCAGGATCGATGACCACAAACTTGGCAGCTAGACCTGATAATTGTTTCGTCGACGCCAACGGTTGAGGCCTGACGGTAGATATTGCGACACACTTCGACCCTTATTATTTATATTTATTCTATATGGCAATAATCACCTTGTTTTTAGTCAGTCCCGTTGCCTATTCATGTCGGATCTACCATGCTTTACCATAGCAGTACACTTAGCTGGAAATAGAACTGGGTTAATTCTCCTCCTAGAAGGGGCATTTTGACAGACTCACGGCGTTTGCCATCGGGTTTGCTCTGTTTGTGCGGTGGCATTTTAGTGTGACACGCTTGTGACTCCTATTGCTGCTGCCGCCGGTTCTGTTACTGCTCCTTCAACTTGCAATCTTGGTAATTATCTTGCCCATGGACATATTCACGTTAAGCGAGACCAGGTAGTTAGTTAACGGAACGGGAGTTAAGTGCCATAATCGCCTCGTTCCATCGCCGTTGATAAGATATGTGCAACTTGCGACAATGCCGCAAGCACTAGACGCTGCCTTACGAAGCGCGAGGCTACCATTTGTGCCAATATCGAAGACAAGCGACGCGTTTCGCTATCACGCAACGGTGAGCTGTGGCTCAGACGTGACCGCTTTTGGTCGCAAAATTTCGGCAATTGAGGCTACGTTGATTGCATTGACCATGAAAGAGGTCGGCGAGAGTGCCAACTCAACGAATCGTTACGAGGTGCAGTGGCGCGCATCGCTGCTTCTCGTTCTATCCAGCTTTATTTGAAGTGATATCGCGTAAAAAGGGTGTAGATAAGCACAATTACAATCCTGCCATTCGCCTGAAGTGTCCGGCTTTAGGAACAATTTTGAAATATTTGCAATCAATTACGATTTAAAAAAGCCAGTACCGTACATTTATTGATAACAATAGCGACCTTCAGGTGTTGTGAAAAAAAGGTCGTTGCTCCTTCAGGTCTTGGTTCTTTTCCGCCGAACTTCAGAATGCGTCACATCCCTAGACTCAGCGTTGCTAGACACGCCTCGTATTCCTCCTCATCTTACCAAAGTCTAGTCATACTTCTATATGCTCTAGAAGGTTATAAAATTCCGCAAAAAGCCCAATGGCTTTTAATAAGGCTAACAAACACTATTATTAGCATTTCAGTCTATTAATTCGTCCTACAATTTGATGTGTCCCACCTTCAATCCATCTATTATCATTATCCTGCTAGCAAAATAAACGACGAGTACCTCCAATAACTTGATTGACTTTTGGAACTTTCTTTTCTTTGCTGGTGATCAATGAATAGCTCTGAAACAACGAAAGAGATCCGACGAGCAAAAGCTAGTTGCGTTTTCGTTGTTCGCAGTTGGACGTAACACCTATCCTAGGCAACACCTATCTACATAGAGGACACAGAGTTACCGACGTGTATTATCTATAAAATGATAACAGTTTAAGTTCTATATGAACATTTAATACAATGAAGGCGCTGGCGTCGCCTCGTAGCTCCTGATTTCTTATGCTTACAACGACGGCATGGGCGAAACACCTGCAGGCAGTGAAATGGAAGTGCGATTAATGATCTATTTGATTTCTGAACGGGGCTCAGGCGGGAGGTCAGAGATTTCTCCTGTCTTTCAAGAGACAAGCAGTGGCAAGACGACCGTTAGAAAAGTCTATCTGTGTCTTCTGTTCTCTCACTCTCCCTTACCCGCCAGCCACCCTTGCGCGCGATGCCTTTCTATTCTACACTAGGTGTATCGGTATAAGCCGCCAGCCTTCTCCACGGTAGGCGCACCAGATAAAACAGAATAGGATAGAACGTCTATGACGCATTGCCTCCATGCAGCCATAGTCGTTGCAATGAGGCCCCATCGTCAAAAACGAAATCTAGCAGATCAGTCTGGCTAGCAACCAGCAAGCAATCTAGCTAGTAGGCCGGCCGGCCAACCAGCCAGCCAGGTACACACAAACCGGTCCGTCATTGCCATTAATGTTTCTATATATCCATCCATCTATCACGAGCCGATTGTTGTCCCGTCCTCCGGCAGCCGTTTCCATACGCAGGTATCTTCCGTCGGCCAGCCGTTCGGCCTGCTCGCCTGCCGGTTAGTCAGTACCTTCTCTTTCTGGCACTGGCAAACAGACCGAACTCTCTGCCACAGCAACCTAGCTTTGCCGAGTCTACCCGGGTCGAGCAGCGTGCTGGGGCTACTTGCCCAGAGGGTTGCTGGCCAAAAGCTCGGCTAGTTCTACAAAGCGGCCGCTCGTGCCACTTTCATAGAGAAAGCTGGCTTGGCTGGTCCCGTGCAAACGCAAGTCGTCCAAAAGGTTGGGGCAGGTAAGCAGTCAGGCGTATCATTGATAAACAATTTCTCAGCTTAGGGTTCGACGGTAACAAGAGCTATTATCATCATCGGATAAAACAGCCTAAAGCAGTAAAGCCAGCAGCGCCGCTGGTAGCTCAGACAGCGGTAATGTGCTGAGTCCAGCATCGTTCCGTGTAAGTGTGCGTATCACCTCATCGTATTGCAATGGCGATGTTGTCGATGGAAGCGTTGATGACAGAAGCCCTAGGATATTCAGCAGTGTGACGCGCCGCCGCCGTCGCGGCAAAGACAGCACTAGCGCTGTCTTTGTCGCGATTGTTATTGCTAGTTCGAAGCAGCTTGTAGATCTCTCTTCTTTCGACGATCACCCGACGAAGCATTTCTTAGTAGTCCGGTGATGACAGACGAATTACGCTTTAACAAAAGTCAGAGCAGAAACGGCTACAACAGCAGCAGCAGCGCCGCATGTACTGAGATTTTAATAAAATTTAGGTGCACTTCAAATTGATAGTCAAGGGGCAGTTTGAACGCCCATCTTTCCGCTTGCCCCCAACAGGGTTATGTCGCAAGGGTTAAGATACCTGCCGGA